TCTCTCTCTCTCTCTCTCTCTCTCTCTCTCTCTCTCTCTCTCTCTCTCTCTCTCTCTCTCACACACACACACACACACACACACACTCTCTCTCTATGCCCTAACACGGGCTACAACAGGTGAACGCTCCGAAGTCAAGAAGTCGATGAGCGCTCCTGGAGATTGTAAGCAGAATCCCCATGCAATCTCCATTACTCCTGTCGCCATCACATTCACGGGCTGACCCTGACAAGATGTCAGGGCAGGACACCCCCGCAAAAACCTCCATATCAGAGATCGAGGGGCACAGCCCCTGATCAGTCTCATCAGGTATAGTGCAGCATCCGGATCCCACCCGCCGATGGCCCCCACATATCGCTCTCTCCTTCCTCCATCGAACTAGGATTCCTGACAAAGTCAAGTGAGATCAGCAATGACCAGGAGCATGTCATGGCTCCCTCGGCAAGCCCCCCTAACACCCCAGTGTTCCTCCCTGCGCCGCCATGGCCACCCCAACGTCAGGTTCTGACAATCGAAGCAGACAAATTCCGTCGACCCCGTACGTGATCCCCCAACGCCCGGATGCTGCCCACCTCTCTGGTGCACCCCAATCCCCGTCTGTCCTTACCTCACTCGAGGAGTCGAAAACCTTTTTTTGTTTTTTTGTTTTTTAGGAGTCGAGGACCTTACTCTCCACTGGAGGAACCTGTCCAGACAGTGGACGTGGGCACCAGCACTGGCAGCACTGACTGGGAAGTTCAAGTTCAACCCCTTCCAGCCCTGGTTGAGGCACTATAGCACATTGCCAACCCTTGTCGTACGGGCACCTCGGGAGGTAGGAGAGACAGACAGTGCAAGATAATGGGGCTGCGAAGCATAGTCCAATGGCCGGATTCTTTCTAAGCTGGTGTGCATGACTCATCTCACAGGGGTCTCTCTATATCATGTAGGGGACACTGGGCCTGTTTCCCAGTTAGTGGAAAAGGTGCCAGTGTGAGAAAAAAAAGAAAATGATACAGATAACCCATTAACTATGGAAAGGATGAAACTAGACAGGTTGAGAAGCACCTGGGCATATGCGCAGTCAGGTGCAGACCATGCAGTGAACCTGTCTGAGGGCCTGGTTACAACACTCCTCTCCATTTGTTGTTGTCGCTGGATTTGCATTTGTTGTTGCCTTTGCGCCACATGCTGCCCAGCTTGCTGGAGCTGGATGTGCTGTTGTGCCACGTAGGCTTGCTGTTGTTGTTGCTGTGACTCCGTGACGGCATGTGTTGATACACCACTTGGGATTGCTGTTGCTGCATCTGTTGCAGCTGTTGCTGTTGGTGCACAAGGTGTTGTTGGATCGCTTGAGCCTGACAGTTTTCATGTACCTGCGCTTGCAGCAGCTGCTGTTGTTGCTTTCGCAGCTGCTGCTGCTGCTGTTGTTGTCACAGGAGCAGGTGCCATTCTTGCTCTTGTGCTTGGTGTTGCTGTTGCTGCAATAACTACTGCTGCTGGTGGTGGTGTATTTGTTGTTGCCTGGCTTGAGCGTGCAGCAGCTCCTGTTGCACGCAGCCCTGCTGCTGCTTTTCTTGTTGCATTTGCAGCTGTTGTGGTGAGTGCTGTTGTTGTTGCTGCAGCTGCTGCTGTTGCTTCGTGCTGGCCAGCGATTGTTCATACCGTTGTGGATGTTGTTGCTGCATCAATGCCGGAGTCTCCGTCTCTTCGCCCGCCTTCTCCACATCGTCACATGGGGCGGCCAAAGGCAGGGGGGACACGAATTGGATCTGTTGAGGCTGGTCGTGTACGGTGGTGTTAGTGTGGGTGACTTTGGCATCTTCCTCATGACATCGTTCGAGCTCGAGCAGTCGTGCCCGTGCGGTGTCCTGGAGCAGTTGGCGGGGAAGCTTGGGGGATAGAGACTTGATCTCTCCTGTTACTTCCGAGACGACCTCTATCATGTGGACAACCATTGGTGTAGTTGTGGTTAAGGTCAGGCTGTGCGGGTCTCGGGCCTCTGCCGCCTCAGTGCGCTGTTGTTGGTTATAATTGAGGTTATTAAGGTGTGTCTGTGGTCCTGTGCTCCCCCCTGGCAGCTGCTCTTGTGACAGTCAGGTTTGAGATACCCACACTTCCCCTCCTGAAAGGCAGGCCTGGGGTGTCTTTGGTGGATTTGCATGTCCACCTCTGGTGGATTTGCATGTCCACCTCTGCGACAATTGTGCTTCCTTCCAGCGCGTACCATTGTCCCTCTTGGGATGCAGGTTGAGGCCGGTCCTCCATTGGTTGAGGTGGGGGTGGGAGGCCCGGGGCAGGGTCCCGGGGCTGCTATACAGTTATCACAGCTCCTTTCAGGGCTGGCTGCTCACATCTTTCATCGACATTATGCCCTCCTCCTCCCCCCACCGCCCCCCCTCAGTGTTGTTGTGCAGCAGTTCCATTGCTGTTTGTAACCGGCCTCTCTTGTTCCTCTGCTGTATTCCGCTTTCCTCCTTCACCGTGCACCCCCTTCCTGTCGTGCCCTGGGGCTTCTCTCTTCTCGTTTGCAGTGCTTTTGCATTTAAATTTAGCTGCCCTCTTTGGTTTGGCCTTGTATATTTGTAGGGAAGGTGTGGGGCCAGGCTTGCTAGGTATCGCTGGGGTGTCGTGTGCATTGCTCTGCTTATTTTGTTTGTTTCTGCTGTTGTTTCTTTCTGCCCTCTGTGCACCTTCCCTACCATTATTGCCGTGCCGTGTGCTGTGTGCAGCTTGGGTGTGCATGTTCTTCCTTTCTAAGGTTCCGGGGAGGATCCCCGACGTCCCCCTTTACCTTTTTTGTTTCTGGTCATCATTGCAATTCAGCTCCTGATGGTAAAGCTGATGGTTGGGTCTTCCCATGCCATATCCATTTCCCACAGCGCTCATCAGCATGTGGGCTGAACATCCAGCCGTGATGATCCTTTTCCTCCAGGGACCACCTGTCCCCATCTGTGGGGTGGGGAGTTACAGTCCTCTGATTTCAATTTGTGGTTGTTTTTTGGGCAGGTCTCATCTGTGCACAGGGGGCTTTGAAACGTTCCCAAGTCACCTCACCACCCTAGCTGCAGAGGGACGAAGAGTCAAAGACTCTGTAACCGCGTGTTCGTTGAATGCGGGTTCAGCATTCAAGAACTGAACACTTTGAATGCGCGTTCATCTGAACGGGTTTGCGCAGGGTCGGGGTCGGGGGGCAGTGGGGGTTGCTTGGCAGGGTAGGGCCGTGGGGAAGGTTGGGAAGGGTCGCGGGCACCTTCCCATCCTTGTTTAAAAAAAAAAAAATCCAGGAAAACGAAATAAAACAACAAAAAAGGGAAAAAAAAGGAAAACAAAAGCCTTTTGGCTAAGATCAAGTGTAGTGATCAGTTTAATATCTGATCCGTGGTCCATCGGACCACTCACAAAAAAAAAAAAGCCTCTGCGAGTCTGCGTATCGTCATATTCGCTATACCTCTTTGTGTGTGTGGGTGTGTGCATGCGGGCCCGGAACTATTACGTTCTTTTTTGCAGCTTGTCTAATTACATTGAATATCTTGAGATTGCAAGGAACATGAAATTCAATGTGGACGAAGCACATAAATCCAGATTGCAAAATCAAACGGAAGTCCAAGTAGTCAAAGCAAGAGCAGATAGCACAATGGAACTGAGTAACCATCCATTTGAGAACGATACAGAAGAATCGTGAGTCAATGTCCAAGCCCAATCRGGCAACASCAACAGCATAACCCAATGTAGCTCTCTCTCTTGAATGGCGCCAGGCGCCCTACCTACTCTACAGCCTATCACTACAACTACATCATGAAAGCAACCAGACGACTTGACGACCAGCGAGTGATGATGTCAACACCAATGCCGACCTCCCTCTTCACCAGGTACGTCTCTCTCTTCTCCCTCACTCTCCCTTGTTATCCCACACAGCGCCCTTCACCTCCGAAGAACCACCTTCGCCCTTCACCTCCTCTGT